TTTCAGCGGAGACCAGGACAACTAGATGAGCCCCAGAGACGGATCCCTAGTGAAGACCTTGTCTCCTAGATGGCCATCGGGACAAGACCACGGGAATCAGATGAGTCCTCTGCACAATCTAACTTTGCTAAAGCATGGATCAACCTGGTGGTTTCGTCTGGCCAGAGGAGAACTGGCCCCCCGACTGAGCCTGGTTTCTCCCAAGGTTTTTTCTCCATTCTGTCACCGATGGAGTTTTGGTTCCTTGCCGCTGTCGCCTCTGGCTTGCTTAGTTGGGGACACTTAATTTCCAGCGATATTGTCGACTTGATTGCAGATACTATTTAAACTGAACTGAGCTGGACGATGACATCACTGAATTCAATGATGAACTGCCTTTAACTGAAAATTGAGTGTTTACTATTGTCCTTTTGCATTGACACACTATTTTCCTATTTGATACTGTAAAGCTGCTTTGACACAGTTTTCCAACTCCCCAAAGTTCTTATATGTGTTATTGTCGTTGGATCTGCTGCAATGATTGAGGATACCCTTCCTCGATTAACTTACCTCATGTCAAATGCATCTTGAAAATGATCAAATATCCTTCATAGGCCATTAAAGTTGACTTCATGGAGTGCGTGGAAAAAAATATGGTTGGTCAAGGTCAAGGACGATCTTTGTGGTTTTATGAGCACATTAAAGGGATAGTTCAATAACAATTCTGTCATCACCTTCTTATAACATTGTATAACATTCTTTCGTGGAACATAAAAAAATATATTCTAAGAAATGTCTCCGAATATGTCCATACAATGGAAGTCATTGCGATCCAATGCTGTTTGGTTCTCAACATTCTTCAATATATCTTCAATCATGTACCACAGAAAAAAACAACAACAACAACAACAACATGAAAGTGAGTAGTTTGGGTGGATTATCACTTTAATATTAAACAATGCCCAGAAACATAATTACTTGTATTGTGTATATGTACTTCCATACAAATTCCCACACAATTCTAATACAGTAACAAAACATAGGCCTACAATATTCAGAAATAAAAAACATCTGGACCATCCCTGCTCCTCCTTTACCTCTTTAGTTCTTGACTTATTCCTCTCCATTTCTACAACATCTGTAGATATATCTCAAAGTCATTCAGCTGCCCTTGGACTGACCGTAACATGTAGCTGATGGAAGTAAAACTAATTATTTCTAGATGTCTTCTGCATGCACTCATTACGAGGACTCTATGATGTACTTTGAAAAGTTCAAATATTTCCTGCTGTTTAACAAGAACCAAGCCACTGCCCACTCAAATTCCACACTGACTTCTGATCTTATGCCTTATCTTCTTTCAGTATTCACAATCTTATCTGATAGCTGTCTCATCAGATATCCTTAAGACACTCTTTCCTTAAAATCCTTTCTCCCTAACACTCACCCATAACTTTGTATGTACAATATAAACATATTTATTCACATTTAAGTTTGTACAAAACGCATCTCCTAAAGATATAAATGTAATATATATATATATATATACGTTTATTGGATTTCCCCTCTTGTCAAGCCCTCTGGATAACGTTTGCTGTCGACTGACTCACACCCGGTTTGGATTACTCTTTTGTCTTGCCCTCAATATACCTGTTTGCCATTGTCACAACCTTGCCTGTTTTTATGACCACGCCTTTAAATAAAAGCTTTGCAGATGGATCCGCACGTCTCATGTCTTATTTGCCCCGTAACAATAATGGCATTGGCTGCATAAGCCAAATACATGATTTTCACAATGAACTGTTTAGAGAGGCTTTTGAATTAATGCTTAGTTACATTTGCAGAGTTGTATGAAATACTGTGTACTGTGTCTTAAAGCAGTCGTCTGCTGAAGCACAGTCTTTTCCAGTGTTGGGAAGGTTACTTTGTAAATGAAATAGATTACAGATTACAAGTGACCCCATTTAAAATGTAATAAGTAGTGGAACTATTTCAATTACTTTACTAAAATAATGTAACTGATTACATTTGATTACTTTTCTACATTTCTAACGATTGTTTTCAACTGTTAATCATTTGAAATATGTAAACCAGGCAGGGTTAAAGGGTTAGTTCACCCAAAAATGAAAATTCTGTCATTAATTACTCACCCTCATGTCGCTCCAAACCCATAAGACCTTCGTTCATCTTCGGAACACAAATTAAGATATTTTTGATGGAATCTGAGAGCTCTCTGACCCTCCATAGACCGCAATGATATTACTACGATCAACGCAAAGAAACATAGCAAGGACACCTGTAAAATAGTCCATGTGACATCAGGGGTTCAACCGTAATTTTACGAAGCTACGAGAATACTTTTTGTGCGCAAAGAAAACAATAATAACATAATTTATTCAGCAATTCTTCTCCCCGAGTTACCGTCTTCCGCCATTTTGGAGAGTACCCCAGAACATAATCTGCGCCGTTTATTTTCAGTAAAAAGGGCACGCATGCTGAACGTAAACAACGTTGATTACGTTCTGGGGTACTCTCCAAAACCCCTGTTCCGAAGATGAGCGAAGGTCTTACGGGTTTGGAACGACATGAGGGTGAGTAATTAATGACAGAATTTTCATTTTTGGGGTGAATTAACCCTTTAACCTTACAGTACACTGGCATCTAAAGATGCTTTGGAAAAAACAATTAATCTTAAAATAAAGCATATACATAAACCAAATAGGAAATAAAACAGTTATTAAATAAGCATGTATTAATATAAGCATACTATTCTGTGTCAAACTCCTGAAACATTGGTCAATGCAATCTGGAAAAGAAATCAATCAAATCACTATGTGTGTGAAAATATACAGATGTAACCTCTTTTGTAACCACGAAATAAAGTTAAGTGTAGTACAGATTGACAAAATCACTTCAGGATAGTTGAACACTTTTGCTGTGCAGCTAATCTTAAAATGGGTAGATGTATAAATCTAATTATTGGGCATCGAAAGTTAGAGATCATAAAATTATATTTTATATATAAAATATAATTTATGTACAAAAAAAGAACAACAATGTCTAGGTGAACTACATTAAAAATAAATAAATAATTATAAATATATAATTAAATAATTACAACAGAAAACCTTCTGTGGTGGAGTGCAATAGCATGTGCTTGAATTGTTAAAAACACTGCCATTCCATACTTCAATTGTGCCTATCCTTCACAACATAAAATATCGCTAAAATATTTATATAGCTATAAAATCCATTGCGCCTATATTGAGGTTTATTAAGTGAATGGGCTAGGCAATGCCTACTGATTTCTTTAATTAAAAAAACTAATAATAATAATTATTAGGGACAGTGGTTAGTTCAGGAAATAATGGGGAGAAGAGGTGGAGACTCATGTCGTCTGTCTGAGCAAAACCACAAAATGTGGCCGCATGTGGACTCACTGCTAAGCCATGGTGCCAAAACTGATGTTATTCCCTTTCAAGATTACACTCTTGGCTGAATAACTGGATATGTTAAATCACAAGCTGACTGAGAGAGAAAGGAGCCAAAAAAAGGTGTATGCAATATGTTGGTGTCTATACAGTGTGAGCCAGACTGGGCCAAAGCTCCATAAAATACAAGGCAGTATGACTGATGTTATATTAAACATCATGAACAAAGATTTGCATGTTCTCTAATAGGATGCACTTTGTAAGCATTTAATTTTTATAGGCAGTGAGAACTCTGTATGCATACATACCTTATCTCCGAGATCGATCTTGGTGAAGCTGAATGTACTGAGGTGGGCATTGGCTTCTTTGATTGCTGGCTCGATTGTTTCTTTAAACAGCTTCTCCACAAACTGACACACATAAGGCCACATCTGTTTCACTGTCTGAAAGGCAAAGTTCAAAAAAGTACCTGCTCAGTACTATGCAACTGAGTAAACTGAGGCACTTAAGGCATATTCATTTCGTACTGTTACTGACTTAAGTATGATAAATAAGCTGCTCTGAAACTCGTTAGTTATCAGAAAAGTTTAACTGTTGTTTTATACCCTCTTGACTACATTTGCTAAAAACAAAATCTTCAATGTGTGTACAATACATTTTTCCACAGCAAGGTTGTGACACAAGGTTCACAGTTTTCATTTAAAAGGCTGGAGGACATGTTGTAACTTGACTAAGTGTAAATACTCCAGGCATTTGGAAACTATTCTCCACGACAACAGAACAGGTAGCCATACTGGGAAGGCACAAACAGAAATATAAAAAAAAATAAATGTAGGATACCATGTCTGAGAGCAAAGAAATAACATCTAAAACCTTTGAAATAAGCTAGCGATGTAGATAGCCAAATAATGAAAAAGAGACAGAATTAATTATATCACATGTATGAGCTTTAAAATGCATGTGTGAAAGTTTAGGTTGTAATATTAGTATGATACAGTACTGTAAGAGTTTTTATCCTTCTCAGTTTTGTCATGTTTAAAAACATCAGTGATTCTGCAGTGTTTCATGTAAATAGTTTTGCATGATTTTGAATGTTGCAGACATACTTTGCAGAAGCATGAGGCCATTCAGACACATAAATTACACCGCTGGGCAAAATGTTAATGAAATATTCAAATCAGGCATGTTTTTGAAGGCTGTGAGCCACTGAATGTATATGTACAATGAATATTTTAAAAAGCCACTGATTTTGACACAGAGGGTGAAAAATGGTTGCTACGTGTAGTGTAACATGAGCAAAGCACACTGGATTTTAGCACCAGTGTACAACCAATGTCCCCCCCCCCCCCCCAACA